GTGTATAAGTGAATACAGAAGAAGGAGAAACAAAGGAAGAGACAGAAACACAGATAATGAGAAACTGAGAAAAGATCAGGGAAGGTTAAGGGCTGCAAATGTAGATACAAAGTTCAGAGTAAAAATTCTTCCTGAATTCTACTGGAAAGCACTCACATATTTGATTCCATAAATAAAGGACATAAAAGGCTTTCTTAACCACAAAATAACACATGTCTTTCATATTACTTAGACTTTGATTTTTTTAAAAAAACAAAATACATGTAGAATATTTCAAATTCCATACTAATTCAATGAATGCTGGTTTTTTCGTTGGTTTATTATTGGTCCTGAGAGTTCTATCAGAATATTCTCTATGCCATTTTAATCACTGAAGTAGTCCTAGAGTTTCGAAGGTATCTGGAGTTATCAGGGTATATTTTGTCCATTTGTACTTGCCAGGGCAGTAGGAACACAACTGCTGTTATTTTGCCCTAAATCATACAGTAGAGTCTATCTTGAATGGGATATGTTTACATAGGTCTAAGTTACTTTATCCTCTTGGCCCATTGTACACTATAAGATATTTTTAATTAAATAAAGCTTGGCCAACTTATTCTTTCAATATAATTTACATAGCCTATTTTTATAAGAATCCTTTAAAAAGATTGATCTTATCAAAATTTAGTATAAAGTTTCTATTTGATTAGTGGGATTACACTACTATTTTGAAAGCATGTAACTAAATTTTTATAGTTCCAATTGTCTTTTTGGATGTACACCATTCTATTTTATTTCTCAATATAGCAATCAACGTTGAGTTTTTGCTATGTGCAAGACAGTGTGCTAGAATAAATACTGAGAATTGAATGGTGTCAGTCATTAACGAAGGTAACGACAAATTTATAACTCACATAAAAATCTTTAGTTTCTAACCTTTGTAATATATTCACCATAACAAATCCACAATTTAAAAAATAATCCCACTGTTGGGCAATATGTACTGATTCTTGGTTGAGAAACAATGGTCACTACCATTAAATAATTTTTATTGCTTTCTAAATAAAATAGCAAGCAACCTTGAGGTCCTATCAGAGAGCTCCTAGCAGTCTTTAAATACATGCCAGACTTCAATAACAGATTTGGTAGTATTTAAGAAATAAAGCAATGGCAATATAAGTTTTAGAATGACTAAAACTATCATTTGTAACTTCGTGATTGCAAAAATAAGGCATGGCTATATGCTCTTAGTATGCATTTAAACAATACAAAAATATATACGATAAAAAGTGAAGTCCTCTGGATTTTGTTTATTTTTACTAGTGTGAATATGATTTTGGAATAATGCCAAACATTTTGGAGGATAGTACATTAAGGATACTACACCAGCAGTAACCCTTCTTCAAATGACTGAATTCCAAATTGACAAAATAAAATTTAATTAGAATCTGAATCACATCATTATGTCCTTATGTCCACAGTTATATTAGAACACAATTTTAGGAAATCTATTGAGAGTAGAAACTTATGCAAGGGGCAAATGTAAAGAGACCTAAGACTGCTCTTTCCCTCTCTGCCTCCTACAGGACAAAGGTGATAATGCAGGGGAAATGCTATGGAATCTTTGCCTCTGTCACTTCTGAGATCCTATCTTGACCTTAGTGTCAGCTCCAAATATTGTTTTTAACTTTAAAATACTCAAGACCAAAGTGATAGCTTGGTCAGAATTCAGATAAGTAAGCACAAAGCCTTGAGAGAGAAATACCCATCACATATTAACTGAAAGATAATGCTACGGTTCACACACTGATGTGACTAAATGGATACATGGTAACTAAATAAATCACTTTATTTGCCAATTACTTTAGAAACTAAAGGTATTAAAATTCAGAATTCAGAGTCTTTGTAATATTATTATACAATAAATATTTGGAATATTTCCATTTATCAATAATGCCATCTGTCCTATCCAATACAAATGGACTACAACCCATAAGGCTCCTTTCCCCATTGATTACTCTGATGAATGAGGTATAACAACTCATAAAACATCATATCATATGACACTGCCATTAAAAAGATATGGAAAAAACGGAAAAAGGAGAAACACAAGATAATACTTAATGTGAAACTGTCAAATCAATTTAGTAAAGCCTTTTTTTAATTTATTTATTTTTTTTTCTATTTTTTTTTTAGATAGAATCTCACTCTGTTGCCAAGGCTGGAATGCACAGGTGCGATCATAGCTCACTGCGGCTGTGACCTCCTAGGCTCAAGTGATCCTCCCACCTCAGCCTCCCAATTAGCAGGGACTACAGGTATGTGCCACCATGCCCAGCTAATTTTTTGATTTTTTTGTAGAGACAAGGTCTTGCTATGTTGCCAGGGCTGGTCTCGAATTCCTGGGCTCAAGGGATCCTCCCACCTTGCCTCCAAAGTGCTGGAATTAAAGGCATGAGACATCATGCCCAGCCTGAATTAGTAAAAACAACCAACATTATGATCCTAAAAGGTATCTGCATGTTGAATGATATTGTGTCAGTCCCGTACTCCCTTAGCACCTCCAAGGAAAACCAAAGAACCAAAAAGATTCCTGGAAAGCACATTATGTGCTTAATGGCATATTACGATATGTTTTGGTTACTATAATAATCATCCCAATAAGAATATCCTTTAGGCAGGGGTAATTAAGTTAAAAACACTTTTCTTTCACTTCATAGAAAATTATAAAGTGATAATTTAACTTCTAATAGCAAATTGTTTTTAAAGCAAAATTAGATACATTCTTTATACATTATAATACAGTTTATTGATTTCAACTGAGCAAAATGATCTTTCCCAAACTAATTTTCTTCTTAGCTATAAATGTATTTTCTTAAAATAATGACAGATGATGATTCTGTAGCAAATGACTGTAAGTAGTGCCTAAATTGACATTAAGCTGGAAATTAAATACCACTAACTGGAATTCTCAAATTTTCTTTTTGATGTGGTAATCTGCAATACATTTAGTTATAAGATGAGTATAGTTGGCATGCCTAGATGTTACCTTTGTTTTTCAAGCTCTGTTACGATGACCAGAACTTGTTTTGCCTACTAGCCTCACTGAAAATATTCTACAAACTGTTTACTGGTGAAACTCATATTAAATTGGGATCACATCTGTGGATAAGTGAGAAGAAATACATTATGAATAAATATGTTTACTCTATAGTAATACTTAAGTTTAGCTTAAATAATTTGAAATTTTATATCATTTTATTTTTAGCTTACATTGAATAACAAACAAAGTCCCTGGAGGTGGTAGCGGGGGAGATTCTGTGAAATAACTCAATTTCAAATGTGTCAGCCACAGCAAAAATAATTTAAATAAAGCACGAATTCAGAAAGTATTTTCTCTATCAACTGAAGAATGCAACATTTACAAGAATTCCATAGACCCCAGGAGTTACGGGAAAAGACTCTCAGATATGCAAGCAAGCCTTAGACACAATCAGATTCATTAAAACCACAAGTGCCATCACCAAATTAAGAGGCAGCTAGGGCTGACCGCTTGCAAACTCCACCTTGTTAGCAGGTGCAGCATCTAGAAAGTTCATTCAGGAAAACCAGGATACTAACTCCAAATAAGGTTTGCCAAATCTGCAAGAGGCCGCCTGACCTCATCTTCCCTTCTGATCAAAAGAAACACTAGCACTTCTACAAATGTGAAAGCACATAATTTAGAGAAATGCCGTGTTTGAGCCAGTGATTCTTATCCGTTACTATGCCAATGCTACATGATTTTAATTGTATCTTTACAATATATTTTAATATCTGGCAGTGTGAGACTTTCTTATTTTTCCTCCTCTCTTCCCCTATACCCCTCTTATTTCTTCTTTTGGCAAAAACTTTCAGGCTATTTTTGCCAGCTTTATTCTTTTTTATATCCACTTCAGAACCATTTTGTTAAGTGTATTCCATGGAAGACTTGATTCTAATAAAATTAAATTTATTTTAAAAATAAAATTGTAGAAAATAGGTATCTTCAAATTATTTTAACTCAGCAACAAGGTATATCTTTTCACTTTTTAAAAGTGTCATCCTCCCAGAAAGATTTATGGTTTTCTTTAGAGCAGTCCTGAAATTTCTTATAGTTTTCATGCTACTGTGCACCTGGTCTTTTTTCCGCATTAGATCTTTTAAGTTGGTTACTGCTGATAGTTAGAAGGTAAAAGATTTTCGTTATATTTCCTTTTTACTTAGCAATCTTATTTAACTCATATTAATTTTGCTCATAGTTCATGTCTCATGGGTTTACTAGGTAGATAATATTATCTGCAAATAATGATTGTATTGCCAATGTAGTTCTTAACCTCGACAAAGAACAGATTCTTGTTCCTTCTAGAGTATATTCTAATCATCAGCTTACTCAGTTGTTTAACTTAAAAGTCTTACTTTCTGATGATTGATAGTATAAATTATGGCATAATCTAAAGTCAATATAATTCAGAAACTACTTTTGATATCTGTGGGATAACTAAAAGATCCAACCCCATACCAGGGCACAGATATCATATTAAAAAACAAAAACTCAGTTAATATTTTAGAAGAATGGAAAAACGTGATCCTTTTTAAATGTTCTTGGAGAAATAAGATGACTCTTAGCCCAAGTGAATAAAATATCAGAAAAATTACCTCCCTCACCAGAAAATATAATGTGATACATGGGCAGAAATATTTTTAAATAGTATATTTCAGCAGTTTCTAAAAACTTTAAGCTGCTTGTAAAGAACTCTTAACTTACTGCATTGGGGAATTAAGATAAAGTTAGTGATGACTGTAAGTTTCTATTAAGCAATTTTCTTTCTCAATTGTCCACAGCCAATTACGAGGCAGAACATAACAGCTCAATCAAACATTATTATTCCAGATTTAGTTCAAACCCTTATGAAGTCCACTGAGACTTGATATTGTCTGAATAAAACCTTTTCATAAATTGCTCTTTGGTAGGCTAGAAATAAAATAGATACTGTAGATACCTTTTAATGGGTCTTTAAGTTCTGCCAGGTATCCAGAGCAGTGGAAGTGAGCTGGCTGTTCATTAACATAACATTTCATAACAGTGAGCCATGAAAGTGTGCTGAAGTCTGGTATCTCCATGTGTAGCTTCCAGGATTTTCAGGGTATGGCTTAAGGACAGAGGAGCTTTTGTTTGTATTCCACCACGAACAAATTTCATTGTGGAAGGTACCAGGGCAATTTGCCCAGTAAGATACAGGACTTCTCCAACCTAAAACAGGAAAGGTACATTAAGGACTGAAATAAGAGAACACTACCCTCTTCATTCAAGCTACTTCTCGAGTTCTTACTTAACTTGACAAATTGTGATAATACCTATTTTGGTAGGTTATTCTGGGGATTAGATGTATCTAAAATATCTATTATATAGAGTTTAGAGCCAGAACAGGGAATCAAGAAATATAGCAATTTATTATTATATTGTTATTAGCCATCATTATTATTTCTAAATTAAGACTTTTCCCCCAGCGCAACAAAGTTGACTGAGTTTACTCATGGACCAATAAAGGTACAGCTCGGAATAATTAACCGCTGATTTGTTTTAGAGGGCAAAATTAATACAAGGATGAACAGTCATACACTACATCATATGTCATACACTATTTTAAATAGTGTATAAACAGTCATGCACTATTTTAAGATGCAGTCATATGCTGGGCCTTAAAAGAATTAGTTCTGAGTTTATGTGATTAACACTTTTATAATATTATAATATATGCCCCAATTAATTGGACACAGGTCTCACTGGGATATTATTTATCCTTGAGGAACATTTAAAATAGGACTAGGAGAAAGATCTTGCTTCAAGTCTGTGTGTTCCTCAAGGGTGGCACTGTGTTTATGGGATGGGGGCTGTGGGTTTCAGGTCATGAAAGCAAGATTTCAGATATGTGTCTTTAAAGTTGAAAATGAATTTGCATCTTATTTCACAGACTAATGCCATGGAATTTTTGGCTCCTAAGGACATAGATAGATGATTTTTTTTTTTTTTTTTTTTTTTTTTTTGCAAATCAGCCTCTATAATTGGACATAAGTGATATGAGACCTTTTTACAAAGCATCTGCTACTTTTTCTGTTGAGACGTTTACTAGATCTTGCTCCAAAAGAGCAAGGAGATAATAAAGGCTCTTTACTCCTTTCTGATTTTCATAAAAATTCTGTGATAAAACCCTAAGTTTTTTTCACTATTGGAAAGAGTAAACACATGAACTATTTAGTATATATAGATCCCGAATACAGAGTGGTGGTGAATAAAAACTTTTTTCCTTCCCTATTCCCAGAATGTGTAAATTATTTAATAGAGACTTTGCTAAACTTTTACCACAACTAAAAATTCCTCAGTATTAAAGCTCAGTGAAAAGAAATCTCAGTGCCTGAAGACAAGGAAATCAAACCATGTGACAGTCCCATATGCAACTCCAAATCTGTCCTCATAACTGTCTGTAGAGCTCACAAAAGAGTCACACATGTAGCTATTGGAAGAATATCTTACACAATTTGGCACACAAGTTCTAAGATTAGCAGCTGAAGAGGGGGAGGAGGAAGAGAGGAGCATAATACATTAACTGACACCCATCCACTATCTTTCTAAATTGTTTGGAATGTTAAAAATATTGTTTTGATCAATCTATATATACATCCTCAAATTTGAAAGAGAAATTCAAAGCATGTTGTGGTTGAAAGAACAAATGGTTTTTAAAAAAACACTATGAAATATATGTCACTGAACAAGGGAGTCCAGCCAGCTCCCAAGTGGCATGTTAACATGATGAAAAGCAAATCCAGGATGCTGTGAATCAAAGAGGCATGGGTCTATTTTTAAAAAGGCCTGTGTCTCCCCACCCTGTTTGCCAAGTACAATTTTTTTTTTGGAGTAGCCCAGCGTCCAAAATAGGTAAGCATTTAAATGTTCTAGGGATTACCTGCCCAACACTTGACCACCTCCTCCCCTTATAAGGCCTTCGGCTCTACATACATCATCCATGTTAATTAACAGACAAACAGAAGAGCTGTTCAACTAGTTCACTTCCCCTATTCTTGAACAGATTGTTTGAGACATAATATGAATACTAATTAATGATAAAATATCTGTGAGTGTTTTGAAATATGGACGAAGATAGCACTTTTAGAAAGGCGCCCAGATAGATCTTGTACAACAAGCCCCACTGGTCACATGAAGGGTCAGGCTGCAGCTCGGAGATATGAGAGCAAAACTGGCAGAGTTTTTGGCTCCAATTCAGTGGGAAACTGTGGACCACTTTTTTTTTTTTTGGAGTGGGGGGATTTACTTTCTTGTTAACCTTTTCCCTTTGTTAAACTGGAAGAGTTTAGAATGAAAACTCTTTTCATAGACAAATGGAGAGAGAGAAACAGAATTTTGTTAAGAGGTCAACTGAGTAGATGGAGGAGTGAGACTTCAACATGTTTGATCTGGGCTTATGGGTCTATGCTCTGCAGCAAAAGAAATACAAGCAGGTTAGGGTTGATCCAATGCTGAGAATGCTGAGTGCCCGGGACCGATTCAGCCTCTGTGATGCCAGGGGCATGGGAAAGATCGTTTAAAAGAACATGATCCCTCTTCAATTCAATCATCTTTTACAAATGGCTTGCTTAATCTCAGAGAAGTGTACCCTTAGAGATATAGGAAATATACTTTTTGTTAAAGAGTAAAGCATATTATTAGGTTGAATTATAAAGACAATTGAAATAGTATTTTTTATGATAAGAGTCTAAGTCATGACCAAATCGTGTTGTCTCCTCTCCTTCCAAAACTGAGTATTGTACTTCCTTGTTAAAACCTTTTAAACTGGCTCCATCTTATCTCAGAAACTTTACTCCATTAATAAACCAGTCGTTGCATTCTCCTTCAATTTTGATATCTAATGGAAATGCTTAAATAGTGCTTTATAATTCTTTGGACTTCAGTAATTGCAATTTGTTCTAATGCCAAAGAAAAGAGAAGAAGATTATTCAAAATTAAACTTAACAACAAAATAATTTATATTTGACATTAGAGTTGTTTTTGCATTGAATTTTAACAATGGATATGTAAAATATTAAAGAAATTCATTTGCCTCACTCAAAGAACTGAAAATGTCTCATGAAAATCTGATTTGGGAAAGAATTAAAGTTAGCCACAGTCTGCATTTCATGTATAGCTAGTCCTTATCTGCCTGAGGTAAGGCCTGGAATTCTTACACTTTCTTGTAATTAGATGATTCTTTCCAAGACTGATTCAAGGTTTGTCATGTTCCAATCTTTCTTAAGGGCAGGAGAAATGATCTCTTATTTGCATTTCAAAGTTTTTCTTTGCATTCAACTAAATTTAGAAAATAGAGAGATGTCAACATCAAATTATCAAATGAGATACTGTTAACAGTAGTTGCCTAAGATGACAGCAAATTAAGTCCATAAATAAAGAAGGGAAAAGCATAATAAAGATAATTCGTTGTGGATATGAACTTTTGTTATAACACATATTTTTATGCTTGTTTACACTTACTTGTATTTCTCTTCATATGTGTTAATCCTTCCCCCACCTCCCCACCAGACCTAATGTTAGTACTTTAAGGCCATAGCGAGGCTTTTCTTAAATATTTAGAAAAAAGAGGTATAAGAATGCCTTCTAAGTTAACTGCAAAAATATACACAATATCCTAGGACAGGTCTTTTCCTTCTGATTGGTTGAACTCTTGAGACTTAATATTTCTTGGCCTTGCTTCTTCAAAGCCATCTCCATGTAAATGGACTCCAATTACATCACACAAAGATCCAAAGTCAACTGAAAGCACCAACTGCCACCCCCAGGCCCTGTGCCTAAGGTCCAAACCCAGGCAGTGCTTACCTATCCTACATGGTGAAATACACAATAAAGCTTAAAGAATAGAGAGTCTATGTCTTCTAATTCTTCTGGGTGTCCCAAGTATCCTCATGTTGATGTTACATTGTTCATTCAGTACTACAGGTGGTGGTGCCCTCAGAAGCGACAGCTAGTAAAGTGATTTTCATAGGGCTACTCTGAATTTACTAAGAGCATTCACAATGCCACTGGAACTGGTTGAGTTTTCACCAGTTTGGCGAGTAGAATGAAAACTGAAACAGAGATGACACACGGAATCATTAGAAGCACAAAGTACATAAGGAAGGATTTTCTTCCTCCTCATGATTCTATGTTGCTCATGCCCAAAACCTTGGAATCTTCCTCTAATCCCTTCTTTCTATTACTCCCCACTTTCTATCTGCCAGGATATACTGTTCTACTTTCAACATATATCCAGAATCCAAACACTTCTCATCATGTTCAGTGTTACCACTCTGATCCAAGCCACTATCATTTTTCATTTGGATTACGGATACGACTTCTTTTTTTTTTTTGAGGCAGAGTTTCACTCTTCTTGCCCAAGCTAGACGGCAGTGGCGCGATCTTGGCTCACTGTAACTTCCGCCTCCCGAGTTCAAGCAATTCTCCTGCCTCAGCCTCCCAAGTAGCTGGGATTACGGGCGTTGCCACCACACCCAGCTAATTTTTTGTATTTTCAGTAGAGATGGGGTTTCACCATTTTGGCCAGGCTGGTCTCGAACTCCTGACCTCAGGTGATCCAGCCTGAGGGCTCCCAAAGTCCTAGGATTACAGGTGTGACCCACCACACCTGGTCCTGGATACAACTTCTTAATCGGTTCTTCTGCTTCTACTCTTACAAGAGTCTGTGCTCAACCCAGCACCTGAGTGACCCCTGTAACATGCAAGTCAGATTAGGCCAGCCCTCTGCTCCACCTGTGAATTGAGTTTGTGAATTATCATAACACCATCTTATTCAATAATTCGCCAAAGAGATTACCATTAATGCCTTTTATGGCATGTTTGAGAAGCATCATGAGGGAAGAGGAACAGTTGACTTACCTACCAAGTGGGCAAATGCACAAGGTACTCTCTGTGCCACTCGCCCACTTGGTACAGAATGTCAAAGTCAAGAATCCCTAACAAATATTTATATAACTCATCTTTAATTTGAATTTATGAACAGATGATTGTCTAGATGTCAGAGTACTATATGACTCATAAAAGTATGCAATAACAGAACACATAGATTTAACACAGAATAAGGAAGTACATGTAACCTAAACTACTTATTTTGGTGAAAAATCTTTTTTTATTTAGAGACAGGGTGCCACTCAGTTGCCCAGGCTGGGGTACAGTGGTGTGATCACAGCTCACTGCAGCATCGAACTCCTGGGCTCTTACTCCTGTCTCAGCCTCCCAAGTAGCTGGGAACACAGGTGTGCACAACCACACCCAGGTAACTAAAAAAATTTTTTTTTTTTGTAGAAATGGAGTCTTTTTTTTTTTTTTTTTTTTTTTTTTTGAGACGGAGTCTCTCTCTGTCGCCCAGGCTGGAGTGCAGTGGCGCGATCTCGGCTCACTGCAAGCTCCGCCTCCCGGGTTCACGCCATTCTCCTGCCTCAGCCTCCCGAGTAGCTGGGACTACAGGCGCCGCCACCACACCCGGCTAATTTTTTTTGTATTTTTAGTAGAGGCAGGGTTTCACCATGTTAGCCAGGATGGTCTCCATCTCCTGACCTCGTGATCCGCCCTTCTCGGCCTCCCAAAGTGCTGGGATTACAGGCTGGAGCCACTGCGCCTGGCCGAGATGGAGTCTTGATTTGTTGGCCAGGCTGGTCTTAAACTCCTGGCTTCAATTAAGCCGCCTGCCTTGGATTACAGGTGCTAGCCACCACACCCACCTGAAAATCCTTAACAACAGCTAACATTTACTGAGCCATTATGATATACCATTTAATGTGCTAGGCATTTTACCTGCATAATTTCATTTGATTCTCACAAATCCATTGTAGGCAATATTATTATACTTATTTTAATGATAAGTGCACTGGAACTTGGAGAAGTCAAGTAAATCACTCAAGGTTACACAGGTGGGACATGGCAAACCTGGGATACAATCATAGGGATGTTTGATGGCAGCGCCCATGCAGTCTTAACTAAGTCATATTACTTTTAATTTCCATAGTCATTTTTCTTATCTTTGGCTCTAGTGCTTGATCCAATATTGTATATGAAACTTTCTATACATTTAGTACAGTTTCACCAAAGTTAGTACAGTTTCAGAGAATTAAATAGCTTTTCCAAAATTCTAAAGAATAATGCACAGAGTCAGATTAGCGTGGTAGATAGAGCTTGAACTTTAGAGCCAGCAAGACCTGGGTTGTGGACCTTTGGACAGATTACCTGTGAAATCAGTTTTCTTATCTGTGAAATGACAATTACGCTATCTGTATACAGAATGCTCAGTATTTTGCAGATAATATATCAATAGTCACTATTAATCTCTAATGTTAAATCATTTGAAAACCGTACGATCTCACAAACAAAGCAAATGTTTTGATAGTATATAGATTTGTTTTCTTTATATACTAGGTAGCTTAATTATTCATGAATTATAATAGTAATTTTTTCTTCAACTCTGATTCTCACTTTATTTTCATATTCAATGCTATTGGTTTAGTCACATGACTGAATTAAAACTTACTGCTTCTTACAATAGTCTGATAAATTACTAATGAATAATGTAATACTAGTAAAGATTAATGAGTTCTTAAATTATAACAAATTACTATTCTATCACAGGTTACAGTTATATGTAGCATAAAACTAATTATGGTCATTTACTTATTTAATCAGTAAATTTTTACCAAGTGCCTATATGTGTCAAACACTGAACTCTTTGCTAGATATTTAATATGAAAATACACCATCCCTATTCTGAATAAATTGTAGTCTAGCAGGAAGACATTCATGCCAAGAGGGCCATTGAATCATTTGGAAAACCAGTAAAAAGGTACTACAATTGATCAATCAAAAAGCAAGTTGCTGAACTGGGGCAATGGCAGTGGGTTGACATATGTCTACTGACAATATTCAGTAAGTAGAAATGATGGAATGTGATTCTAGATGAGATGTATATTTGGGGATGGTAGAATGTAAAGGAAAGGATCTAGGATGACTCATGGGTTTCTATTTGATCTAGAGACACAACTTGTAAAAGTGGTGTGCTAAACAAAAGTATTTTCTCCTTAAAATCTAACTCATGGGCCAGGTGCGGTGGCTCAAGCCTGTAATCCCAGCACTTTGGGAGGCCGAGACGGGCGGATCACGAGGTCAGGAGATCGAGACCATCCTGGCTAACACGGTGAAACCCCGTCTCTACTAAGAAATACAAAAAAAAAAACTAGCCGGGCGAGGTGGCGGGTGCCTGTAGTCCCAGCTACTCGGGAGGCTGAGGCCGGAGAATGGCGTAAACCCGGGAGGCGGAGCTTGCAGTGAGCTGAGATCCGGCCACTGCACTCCAGCCTGGGCTACAGAGCGAGACTCCGTCTCAAAAAAAAAAAAAAAAAAAAAAAAATCTAACTCATGGAATCATCAGTGATATTTGAATCGATAATGGCAAATGTAAGTGATAATAATGTTAAGTTTAGTAGAGAAGGACAAACAGTTACATCACTACCATATAAATTAGGTGTAATGCTTTATGATGATAAAAATCATGCCTGTAATCCCAGCACTTTGGGCGGCTGAGGCAGGCAGATCATGAGGTCAGGAGATCGAGACCATCCTGGCTAACATGGTGAAACTCCGTCTCTACTAAAAATACAAAAAAATTAGCCAGGCGTGGTGGCGGGTGCCTGTAGTCCCAGCTACTTGGGAGGCTGAGGCAGGAGAATGGCGTGAACCCAGGAGGCGGAGCTTGCAGTGAGCCGAGATGGCAGCACTGCACTCCAGTCTGGGCAACAGAGCGAGACTCCGTCTCAAAAAATAATAATAAATAAAAATAAATAAATAAACAACTCACTTGAAGTATAGGCAAAAATTTTAGATTACTGGTTTATGAATTGCATTTTCATTTCTCCTTTGATTGACAGCAAATATCCAATCTCCCACGTCAGCAGTGGATATTTAGAAGGCATACCAATGTCCTTATTAATGTGAGACTCACATATGCTTCTAACCATTCACTTTCAGACTGGTGTCCCAGAGCCATTTCAGCAGCTGTGTGCCCAGCTTGCTACAATTACAGCAAAGCCACATGGCAGGAGAAAAGTGTATGCAAAGGGATATACAGTTCTTTCTTGGTATTCGTGGGGGAATGGTTCCAGGGTCTCCCTCGAATACCAAAATCTGAGAATGCTCATGTCCCTGATATAACAAGGCATACACACCGGCTGGGTGTGGTGGCTCATGCTTGTAATCCCAGCACTTTGGGAGGCCGAGGCGGGTGGATCACCTGAGGTCGGGAGTTTGAGACCAGCCTAACCAACATGGAGAAACCCCGTCTCTACTAAAAATACAAAATTAGCCTGGCGTGGTGGCACACGCCTGTAATCCCAGCTACTAGGGAGGCTGAGGCAGGAGAATTGCTTGAACCTGGGAGGCGGAGGTTGCAGTGAGCCGAGATAGTGCCATTGCACTCCAGCCTGGGCAACGAGAGTGAAACTCTGTCTCAGAAAAAAAAAGAAAAAAGGCATACAGACATCCTCTCTGTATGTTTTAAGTCATCTAGAGATGACTTATAATACTTAATACAAAGTAAATGCTATATAAATAGTTGTTATACTGTATTTTTTACAGAGTAATGACAAGAATAAAGTCTGTATGTGCTCAGTACAGACACATTTTTTTCAAATATTTTCAGTCCTCGGTTGGTTGAATCCGCAGACGCAGAACCCACAGATACAGAGGGCCAACTGTAGTCATTGGATCGATCTGCTCTTTAAAAAGCTATTTAGAGTTTCAAGTGCAAGCTGCTTGCTGAACAAAAATCCTCAGACACAATCAACCACAGGATTTCAACCAAGCCTCAAGTATTTTACAAAGAAATAATATAGTATTTGTTCAAAGAGAATGAAACACCTGTTTCTAAGGGTGATTTAAGTCAATAAGTAATAAGCTAAATCTTTGTTACGAATGCATTCTGGGGTCTGAATGAGTGTTGCCCTTTCAGAGGGCAAAGTGCACAAAAGATTCAGTGACCTTCTGACTTGACAGTCAAATAACTACCATTATGTTCAGTCAATATAAGTAAGCATGGCTGACAATTTGCTAATTGGCCGCCTGTGGTCAGTCAAGTGTACTTTTGACCTTAATGAGAACCTAATCAATTAATACTCAGGGCAATAAAGATTTCTTACTGATTAAGTTAGACAGAAATCATCTTTTTCTAACAGGATTAATGCTACAAAGTGGCCAACTTTTTATTTAATATATGATAATCCTCTCTTCTTTGGACTCTCTTATTTAGCTAACATGGTGAAACTGAATTATGAAAGGTGAGATCTTTTGTTCAACTATGCGTAAAGCTTTTTTTTTTTAATTAAAAAAAAGCAGTGTAATTCAGATTAGAATGA